AGTGTCATGTAATCCCATTAGGCTTTGGTGAGAAGAGCTGTTTATACTGGTTTTGATTGGAGTTAGCCAATGATGGCACTATGACAACCAACTAGAGTATCCTGAAGGTTGCAAAAACTTATCATAAGAGAGTGAAACAACTACTTACTACAAGGCTTTTTTTCTACAAATAGTCCTATGTTAAGAATGCTAAGATCTCAACAGTCGCTGTGGAAATATATTTTTGTATTGCCTGAGTATAAGCAAAGCTGTAAAATATAAATAAGTTTATTATATCTTTTGGAATTAATTTGAAAGCTTTCAGTCTTTTGAGAGCTGTTCTTATTCCAAGAAAGCTGAATATTGAATCGGGTGAAGTTTGTGGAGCTGCCATGTACACAATTTCCTGAAAAGCCCTGGATCAAAGGGAATTGAGGTCCAAACACCAGCACAGTAAATCGCATGCGATATTTAATGCGCATCTTGTCAGAAAGCCGGTTCTGTAATCAGCGGTAAATCTCCACCTGCGTGCTTTCACATTGAGCAGCATTAACTACACAGAGCCGTTGTTCACTGACGAGCTGCGCAAAAAATCGCGCGAATATGAACGTGGTTTTGCGAAACTCGTCAGTGAACAATGGCTCTGTGTAGTTAATGCTGCTCAATGTGAAAGCCCGCAGGTGATGGAGATTTACCGCTGATTACAGAACCGGCTTTACTGATAAGATGCGCATTAAATATCGCATGCGATTGATTGTGCAGCCCTAATTATAGCACACTGAAACCTGATCTTTATTTAAAAAAATAAAAAAACAACAACAACGTGGTCTCCTCTTTCTCTTTCTCTAGGTCTGGATTGGTTGTAATGGTGGGTCAGGCCTCAGTAAGGTTGTGGGGAAGATCTTTGTGTTGGACTCTGAGAGCTTGAAGGTTGAGAAGGCGCTTGAGGCCCATGAAGATACAGTTCAAGCTCTCTTCTCAGCAGAGGACCGATACATACTCAGCGGCTCTGCAAAAAGTGATGGCAAAATCGCCATCTGGAGAGTAGATTAAGCAAGCTGACACAACATGATTTTAAGTTTTTAAGGTATCAGCTTCATAAACAGGGGCATCATGATCTGTGACATGCAAGTAGTTACTCAGTGCTCACAGCACAGGGGAAGAAATGTATTCACAGTTGCCCTTAAAAAAGTGCTCTGTAATCCCATCAGGCTTTGGTGAGCATAGCTGTTTATACTGGTTTTGATTAGAGTTAGCCAATGATGGCACTATGAGAACCAACTAGAGTAACCTGAAGGTTGCAAATACTTATCAAGCTAGAAAAGGGAGTGAAACAACTACTACAAGGCTTTTTTTCTAAAAATAGTCCTATGTTAAGAATGCTCAGATCTCAACAGTCTCTGTGGAAATATATATTTTTATATAGCTTGTGGCTGTAAAATATAAATAACAGTTTATTCTATCTTTCTGAATTAATTTAAGAGCTCTCAGTCCTTTGAAAGCTGTTCTTATTCCAAGAAAGCTGAATATAGAATTGGGTGAGGTTTGTGGAACTGCCATGTACACAATTTCCTGAAAAGCCCTGGATCAAAGGGAATTGAGGTCCAAACACCAGCACTGCCTGAGGATGGACTGCAGCCATAATAAGTAGATGGTGGAACAGTGTGCCAGTCCTTGTGTCTCTGGAGTGGCTTGTAAGATTGTATGAATCTACTATCTTGACTATATATTTTGTACTATGTTTTTGTTATTACAGATCTGTATTTATTTTATATCATAAATGTTTTGGGGGTATCTTACACAGGGTTGTATGGGATGTATTTGGTCTCAAAATGCCTTTTTTTTTCTTTTTATAATTGCATTGTCAAAAAGTAAATAAAAATAAAACAGGCAATAAAGCATTTACAATCTTTAAGATACATTATAGGCTTGGCTTAAATTGTGCTTGCATTTTGACAATATTTTATTTGCAGTTAAGCACATTTTTCCTAAAATTCTCATTACTGCGTGCAAAAGAATATTACTGTAGTAATGTAATTATATTGTCCTATCTGTTACACTGTTTTTGTACTAAAATAAGAATAAATTCAGTACAACATCAGTAATAGTGCCCTTGGTTTTAAATATTATAAATAATAATGTATAAATATGATTGAAATAATGTATTACATTTTGCATTACAATAATGAGAATAATGAGAATTTGTATTTATTCATAAATAAGAAAAAAAATGAAATAATATTTATTAAAACAGATTTCATTTTCTTATAAATTATTGAAACATGACATAAATGTGCTTTACAAGTTTCATTAAATTAACATTTTGCTTTGTACTTCTTTCCTTTGTAACAATCTTCTCTTAGATCAGCCCTCCTTTCCACTTGAAAACAGATTATTTAATGTCATGTCTTAAAATAGCAATACATATGTGGAGTTTGTGTTTGCCTTTAATATTCAAATAAATATGACTTAATAAACATGGAGCCATTCAGGATCAGCCCTTTTCGCTCTGGAGGTGTTTGCAGGAGGGGCACTTGGCTGGATTTTTGCCGCCCAAGCAGAGAGCAGTGATTGGCTGATGTGTAACATTCTGACCCTGGGGTCAGCCATCTAACTGTCAGACGTCATTGGAAGGAATTTTGGGGATGTGTCTGGAAGACAAAGCCAGCACACATCCATCCTGTCCCTAAGTCCCTGGAGTGTGTGTGTAGGCGTGCAGCAATGCTTTCAGAGCTGCTGTGCTTTGCATAAGAATGAATTTATATAATTGCAGAAGCAAAATAACATACCATATTCATGGATATTATTAGTTTTGATGTCAAAGAAACATTTTGTGAGCACATTCTTGGATAAAGTTGACAAATATGTGTCATTCTGATGAAGTCGAGTGGCTGTGATGCAATAAGATATTTTTTCCCTGTTGGTGGCTAAATCGCCAAATGAATCACAATCAACACCACATTCAGTACATAATGTATAGTCTGTTGTACCAGTAAATATGCCTAGCTTATTTTTTCCAAAAGCAAATTATCATAACTTAATATTTTTATGAATGCTGGGCAGCCTGATGTTGGAAAGCCCAGCGTTGATTACATTAATCAATTTACTGATTCTTTTGAGACATCATTCCAAAGAGTTCCCAGAATTCTATGCACGGTTTTTTGGAAGTAAACACATTAATTGAAATTCCCTTATACTTTTATCAAGTTAAATGTGTGCTTGTATTTAGATGTATATAACTAATTATAACTGTTAAAGATGTGTTGCATTTGTTGCTTTAACTGTAATTAAGACCATGTGTTTTTTTCCCCTCACAGATAAATGTTCCTTCCTGTCACATATTTGTCGTTGTTTATGCATGCCATTCACATTCGCTTTGCGAATCGGTTCTACAGGATGATTCACATTAATCGGTTCAACATAATGATTCATTCGCGAATCGGTCATCACTAGCTGCAGTGAGAGTGAGAGCAAGAGGGAGGATTCCGGCTTCAGATCCACTACAGACCCCACGGAGCCTGGACGGACCCACAAACTGCGCTAACCTCGGGATACAAACCAAAGCCAAACACTGCGGATTACAGGGTGTTTATCAAAAAGGCGCGTTTTTGGAGACATCCGATGAAAAGAATACGGTAAGCATTATTCCTTGTTAAGAATGCACATGTTATATTTGCTGTAATAATTGCAATAACTGTGTTAGCTTGGTAGCATAGCGTGAGGGGCTCATATTTGCACTTGGACCTGGAGAGTGGGCTTTCCTGGGCTATTCTGACATGTTGTGTTGCATTGTGAATGCGAGCCGTGTTATTATATTGCAGCGTGCTTAGGATTCCCGTATCATTATGAAATTGCTGATAAAAGTCAGATGTGCACGGTTTTGCAGGACAAATGCTCCTGGCAATGCGAAAGAGACCATACCCAGTAATTTCAAGCCATTCCCAATGTTTTCTTCCTCACGGAAAAAGCGTCG